AGTATAATTTTAATCATAACAGCAAAAAACAACCCCCAAAAATGCTGTGGGTAATATTGCAAAAAGAGAGAACTTCTCATTAAAAAAATTGCCCTTCTGCTATCACATAATTTAGTGTAAAAATTGCAACCAGCTCTAACTGGAAATAGTGTTCTCACAGCTCTCTTGGTCTGTATTTTACTAACCTCTAGGTTATGGAGCAGTTCCTGCCCTCCTTCCACAACAAACCCTCAGTTACCATCACTGGTGTTTTCTCATGGGAATTTCACCACAGTGGGATGGTTCAGCACCCCTCTCCAGGAGCCCCAGCTTGCAGCACTGAACCTGTGTGAGGTGTTGTCCACCCAGGTGCTGAACAAACAGCAAATCACCACTGTGACCCCACTGCAGGAACCAGACACCATCAGACACCAGTCGGCAACTCAAACCCTTTCTGAGCCACTCAGCTCAAGCACCAGGTGTCCAAAATTTATCCTTGACATGGGATTTATCTCAAGAACCTTCTCTTGGGTCCTGTTATCCTCTGCCTTCCAGACTTTCCCAAAATCAAAAGGAACCAGCATTTTTCAAACCTAAGCCAGGCAGCAGCCATAACAGGTCCAAAGAGATTTCAGACTTGTTGCATATTCTCTTTAATAACCACCATTTCTTTAAAGACACTTTTTTTTCATTCTTCTCAGGCACATTTTGCTGATAGGCAGAAAGTCAATTTAAGGCCTGTGTTTTGTTAAAGCCTCACTCCTGCTATCAGGATGAACGCTATTATGTAGAGTGACAAACACTTTGGTACTCCCACACCTCTATGATTAAGTCATTACTCAAGTGTTTTGCAGCCATGATAAAAATCTAAGAATTAAAATATTAACACCCCTCCCAAAACCGAAATTAAAGGTGTGTTATCTGATAGGCTAAAGAATTGGTGTGGATTTCTGGTTTTAAAAGCAATGTTCAATGAACAAAATAAGTGACAATAAAACCATCACATTCACAAAATACTAGTGTTAGCCTTGGGGATGTGCTTAAGGATTGGGCTGTAACCAAGGCAACCCAATCTCCTGGAGAAAGTTTAAGTAGAGAGTTTTAAAGCTATTGCTCAAAGATACAGTAAATCTGGCTGTAGGGCTACTTGTGACATATGGAAGGTGCCACAACCACCCAACACAAAGCACTCATCTTTTAACAACTCAACCTCCTGTCATCCAAATGTTACATTTGATCAGCTGTGGTGTTCTCCTGCAGTTGGCATAAGGGTGATACAGGAGCCATTTCCTGTGTTCTGGGTAATTTGATAGAAATTTAACTGTGCCCACATCCTACCCAGATCAAACCTGTATGATCAGGGAATAAAGAACCAGTCTGGTATTAATGGCTTATGTCACACCACGCAATGGCTTTAAGTCTGCACTTAAACGAACCCCAGGGACATAAATATTTTGCTAAATTAGAACCTGATCCTGGGCCCTGTCTGGCCACAGAAATCATGGGATCAGGCCTGACTTGCCAACAAATGCTAGACAAAGACAAAGCAGCATAAGCAGAAACTGCAGACTTGAACAGAAATGTTGGGGTGATCTTCCAATTCTTTCTGAAAGGAACAGTTTGGACATTACTACAGCCACAGATGATGTGAATTTTTGTCATGGCTAAGAAGGTCCAACTTGAGAAAAGCAATGTTTCTTTGGCAAAAACTCTTTCTTTGGAACAGATAAACATGATATATTATAAGTATGTGATAAATATTGTGATGAAGCCATATCCCAGTGGTTCTTAATTGCAGTGCAATTGAGATAAATCCCACCAGCATTTCTTATTAAATCCTGAAGCATCAGCAGGGAGATTTCCATATACATGTGGGTGATGAGAGCCTCTGTGATACAATATCTTTCAAATTATTTATAGCAATTTTGGAAAACAAAACCACACTGAATAAAGAAGAGGGTTTTAGATACTCCCTCCTTCCAACGGGCAGATGGCTTTGGTGTCTAGGGGTGAAAAAAACCCCATCACAGTACCTTTGCACAGATGTGTCAGGTCTAGAAACCAGCCACAGCACCTCAAACATCAACACTGTTCAATCTTTGTCAATCATATTTCATCCATGAAGTATTTAATGCTTGAAAAGTTTGGCTCTCACCTCCCTGCATGCCAGCCCAACTCACCACAGCACTCTCATAACAGAGAGGATTCAGAGCTGGATCTCCTGGCTGGCCGCGTGCATTGCAATGGGCTGGAATCCCAGGCCTACATACCAGCAAACTTTTCTGGAAAGAGAAAATAGAGCTCCAGAAATCACTAGTTTGTGCTAGTCTGTGACTACTTTAATCCCCATAATGTCTCTGGGAAACTGCAAAGAAGCTCTCTCATGCAGAGGGCAGAAGACAAGGAGCCATATGACTCGCTCCAGTCCAGCCTATGGCAGGGCCATAAAAAGCCCAAAGGCTCTGAACTCGAGTCCTTAGTCTAGGCCACATTCTGCTGGAAGGCACAGCAGTTTGAGAGTCTCATCAACCACTTGATTTAACACTCACAAGAGTAAGGGAGATCAGAGCTATGTTTTCTGCCTGATGAATGGCTCATTCTGCACCCAAATGCATCACTTTATCACCTGTGCTTCTATCTCAGCACTGACCTCCTCTGTTTTTGTAGGGTTAGTTCAAACTAGATTTGCTCAGTATTTGCAAGGTTTTTTGGACTGGTGGTGGTGCAGACTGTGTGTCAAGAAGCGAGCTCAGAAGGACCTTACATGCCATGGTTCAGGGAGCAGGAGCCCAGGTGGAACCTGGTGAGAGCCAGGGTGCCAAAAACTCTGTTTATGTCTGAGGCACTAACATTCTTGCAGGCCAGGGTAGAAATCCAGTATAAAAATCCAGTATAAAAAGTCAAACTGCTTCAGCACAGCTCCTATGGTGGTGAAGGAAGTCTTCTGCTCAATGATGCCACCCTTCTACAAAGAAGGATTCATTTCAAGCTGTGAATTTTGGGAAACTTCCCTGACACTGGTGAAGTTTGCCAACATATAAACCATGTAAGGAATGGAGCTTTCAGACTGGTATTTCTGTATTTGAATTTACCACAGACAGCTGAAGCTACTGAATATCACAGTGCTCTTCCAAAAAGGTTAGTGCTAAACTGAAAAGAAATGCACCATATGCAGGAGCTGCAGTATCACATCACAATTTTTCCTTTGCTTCCTATCAGTTCAGCTCATCTAACTTTTCTTTTCAGCATTAGTGGATATAATTATTCTCTATAACAGAAGCCTGATACAAAGGGGAAAGCACCACCTTCTTATTACTTTTCAGTGGGATGCATGAAAAAAAGATCTTGTAACTTACTCTTGAAAAGTTACATTTTGTCACTTTTATGGTCAATCAGCCTGCAACTGTTTCAGTTCTGCTTCTTAATTTAAGTGCAAAGAAAGGTGTTTTCCTTGATTACATCTGCAAATAAGATATTAATGTCAATTCAGTGATATGAAAATTACTCCCTCACTATGTAATTTGCACCCAAGTTATTATGGGTTTCATGAACAAGACTATTATAGCTGCTCAGAATGCCATGGATTTCTAATTTTTTGATTTGTTTTTAATTAACCAAACTAAAAAAAAACAAAGAAACCCTAAACCCATGATCATGTGAAAAAAAAAAAAAAGGATTATCTGTGCCCAGGTTTTATTTACCTTGGGATATTATATTGATTCTGGACTGAAGATGAAAATGCTGCTGCTGGCCCAGCACTCTACTGCCATGAATTTCACAGAGGCAAGTTAAAAGTGGCTGGGATGAAAATGGAAGAGGAAAAAATTGCCTGCTTTCTGGAATGGCATAGTGAAGGGTTTAATACCCTCTTTAGCTTTCTTAGGATGAAAACTGAACATGTATTTAGGATGATTTTTTTGCTGTTGTTGAAACAGGACCTGATGCTTTAAATTGAAAAACACAAATCACATGTGTTAACATCAGAGAAATGTGTATCATCCCAAAGCCTGATTCAATCCTTGTTACTGTTGAAGGAAAATCCTCCCACTGCAATAACAGGAGATGGAAAAAGACTTTATTGCTTGAATGTCTACCCAGAGACCAACACTGCCAGTGGTCTCACTAGAATGGGCTGTATGAGAGTGGTGTAAGATTTTTTTGAGCATCGCTTTGCACTGCAATTCTATGTAGTCATTTTTATATTTTTTTAACCACTGGGATTTCAGAAATGTGTTTCCAGCCCCACATCCCTTAAATATCTTCTTAAGGGACATGACTGGCTTATGCCCCTGGAAAATCAAAAGCATGCTGTGTGTGTGTAGTGTGTAGTGTGTGTGTAGTGTGTGCAAGCTCACATCCTTCTGTGATTGCTCATACATTGTGAATTGGAAGCATCACTACTGAATAAATTTATGCGATAGCTAAGTAGACTTTCATGAGTAAAAGAAAAACACTATTGAACTGGAAGGGAATGGAGACAAGTAAGGGCCTAAGAAATGACCAATCTGTGTCCCAAGGATACAAGATCACACCTACACTCAGCTGCAGTACAGCTGCAGTTGCACTGTTTGTGTTAATGCTGGGTCTGCTCTCACACCTTCTAGGACAGTGGAGCTACTTCTGTTGGTGACACAGATCCTAATAAAGTCATCAGCAGACATTGAAGTCCCATGACTTCAATGAGAGCTGCTCAGGTTCTCAAAATAACTTGGGAGAAATAACCACCTCAGCCATCTTTCACCCTCTACCTTCATGTACTTCTTAAGAAACAGGAATCAAACACAGAAGCATAATAAGGACCATGTTCAGACCTCCTTACACAGGCAGATAACTTAGGTGCTGTGACCCATAACTCCATCAGCTGCAGACAGAGCAGCTGCTCTGACTCACTCACTGCCCTCCTGGACAGTTGTGTCTAAATTAGGTGCCTGTCATGGGTAGTCTGAACATGGCCTCTCAAACTGCCCTCTTGCTCCAAGGCCTTCCAGTTTTACTTTTTTTTTTTTTCCTTTTTTTTTTTTTTTTCTTTTTTTCAATAAAAGAGATTCAGACCCTAGGTTGGAAAGAAATCATGCAAAGCTTGTGCAATATCTCCCAATGGGCATCCTGGGGAGGGTCACAGTTGATACTCAGAGATCAGTGCTGGCCTTGGCAGTCAGAGCCTGGATCCGAGCAGAGTTGCAGGTCTTGCAGAGGATGTGCCCATCCAGAGGGTAACAGCCCTGATTGTCCCCTTCAGACAGGAGGCCACCACAGTCCTAGGAAATAAGTGAACAGGAAGAGCATAGTAAATAATAAAGAACAAGATTAAGCAAAGAATCTATTAGTCAAAGAAAGTCTCCTCACTCTCCACCTTGTAACAGGATCCAGCCTGAGTCAGTGCAAAGCATGAAGCTGAGGTACGTGATGTCTTTTACGATTAAGCCATTTTCTGATAAGAGACAATGCTGCAGAGAAGATGGGTTCCCAAGCTCCCTGCTGAATTTAATCCAATTGAAAATAAAAGGAGATTATTCCCTTCACATTTCTGAGGAAGCAAAGGTCTTTTGCACTGGAGAAACATCAAACTAAAGCACATATTTATTAATTCAAAAAAAGTATAAAAAAGAAGCATCACTGGGAAAAAGTTTAGTACCAATATCTGACTATAGGTAATCTCCTTTGGAAGAGTTCATGCCATGAAGTTACAGCCTCCATTCCAGGAGTGGCAGCTAAGCCAAGTCCCTTCCTGTCTCCCCTACCAGAACTGTCACCTGTGTTTGTATTACAATTGGCCAAAAAGGTTGTGGCAAAAAGGAGGATGTCAGACAGGAACATGGAAACCCCACTCCAAGGCCCCCAAACCTGCTCCAGAGACCTCAGCCCATAAGCTTTAAGGAAGCTGCTAGGAAAGTTGGGAATTATCCCACACTTTGTGATCAAGCAATTGCTTGGCCCAGGACTACTGATGGATCCATGTGTGTGAAAGCCTGGGTATCTCAGCAACCAGCATGGGGACATGCTGTATGATGAATTAGGCTCTACAAAATTTAGTGTAAGAATGTCCAGCATCTTAAAAAATAATGGGCCTAAGTAATGGGCTGGTATGTACCCTGAAAGCCAAGGTCAGATTGAGAACTGAACCAGATGCCTCAAGTTTCAGCCTAGACCTTTAAACCTTAGTCCATCCTTCTTTCCAATTAAGGTTATTAAAACCTGCAACTGCAATAAGAAATATATTTGGTCTCATTTTCTTACCCTGCCATCTGGCTGATGTATTATCCAACAAGTAACACTAGCACTGAAGAATTCTTGAAGGTTCCCTAACACAGCTGTTCCCACATGCTAATTGCTTTAAGGTGATTTTTATTCTCTGTCTTCAGACTCTTACCATCAAAATTACATGAAGTGTGTTATGAAACTGAACAGGAAAAGTAGCATAAAAAGCATTGCACAAAACAAGAATGATCATGTTTATGTGTCCATTAAAATTCTTCAACCCAGAGCCATATGCTGAATTTCCTGTACAATCTTGCTCAAATCCTAACATGCATTAGCTTTCATTTTAAGAACATAAAGATGAGCTACGTTTGTGTCCAGGCTATAATTTATTAAGTTCTCCAATATTAAGACCTAATTGCCTGAGTCACATTCTTTTGCTCTTCTAATGAACCTGTTATAAACAAGGGACCTGATTTTCCTCTCATTTGCATGGATATAAATGAGGAAAAATTCCTTGCTTGCTGAAGTCAATGAAATAATTTGATTGTAGAGCCAGTGTTACAACAGGGTATGCCTGTTGTGTGGGCAATGTCAGGTGGTGATGAAGTTAAGCCAACCCTTGCTTTCTGTCCCTGCTGTGCCTGGAATACCAACCTCGCACCGGTAGCACTGGACATGGAAGTCACGATCCAGGGCAACAATGCGCACGGTCTCCTCTTGTCCCGGGGCTGGCATGATGGGCTCCTTACACACAGAACACCTCGGGGCAAACTTCCTGAGGGAGCAACAGACAGGCACAGTCATCTCAAACGTGGAGAAAAAGTTTTTGTTAACTGGACTGGCCAGCCAGAAATGTGTGAATTTGTACCAACACACACACACACACACACACACACGTGCATACACAACACAGGCTGGAGCTCTGCACAGATCCCTCCTTGGAAAAAAAACAGGCAGGAGCACTTTAGTCTTACAAGGCAATTTCAGGCACGTAGGATATTAAAGAACATTTATAAGGAGATGACTTATAGAACTTCTGACAGGCAGCAGAGCATTTTGCCTGCCCTAATTAACAACTAAAGTGCCTGTTGAATGACCCTCCATTGTGGCACCTATGCACTGCCACAACCCTCAGACTCTAAGAAAATCCATGCAAATCCCATGGTTAGAAAGATGACCAGAATCTGCTTCAAGAGCATCTCTTGAAAATAAAAATCAAACTATTAAGATTTGGAGATTGGAACAAATAGTTTAAAAGTCTGAAAAGAAATGGTAAAAAGAACTGCCTTTTACTAACACTAATTTGTTGAGGTTTATATCACCCACTTTAAACTTTCAAGCCATCTTACCCACTTATGCACACAGAAGCACATTTCTGGCTGTGCTCACTCTCAGACAAGAAGCATCAGGGCAATTCTGACTTGCTGCATCTTCTAGCTAAAACCTACTCAGTTATCCAACAGGGTGCTGTCCAGGCTTGAAAGGGAACAGGTCTGGGTGCAGAGACCCCAATGTTCTCTCTTCCAGTCAGTCTGACTTCTAATTGTATAATGACAATAACTCGCTGCGTGAAGAGACTGACTTGAATCAGGGTCAGCTCAGGGATCAAGAGAAGCACAGCCCTTTCTTCTTCCCTTCTATTGCTCACCATATGCCCTTCTGGATAATTCACCCATGTTCTGCATTCCCTCTAGTTTTGCTCCCCTCAGGTCCCATGAGAAGTGGCCACCTCTGCTCCTAGGCTTGGGAACCTTTAGCCTGTGGTGAGTCGTTCTCTATTTTAGTTCAAAACCTACTGGTACCAGTTTCCTGGCTGCAAATTCTGCCTGCAAAAAAGGAAATTTACACCCACAGAATCTGCTGCCATGTAATGAGAACCAGGGTCAGGGGCTGTGGAGCGACAGAGGGCAAAGCTTATGGCAAACATCAGAACACAAGGAGATCAAAGGGCCTTCTCTTCTAAAATGCCTAGTAAGGACTGACTCTGCCACCCAGCCTGTCACATGAACCACCTCAGAATTAACTATCTTAGAAAAGAAAAGAAAAATAAAATCTATCTGTACTAGGAATAAAGAAAAATATTAATTTCACTGGCAGCAGATGAAAGATGCCTGTGTAGCTGTGATCTAATGAAAGAATGAATTAAACAGTGGCTATAACGAGTGCTCTGAAAAATAACTTAAATGGATCATGATATGACTGGAGCTGTGATGGCAATTAATTGTGTGCTGCTTCATGCAGGCCCTTCCTTTTGCCATTTAGCTCAAATGTGGTAATAAAAAAATACTTCAACATTTCTTTGCCCAGGCTTCTGTGAGTAATTCATTATGAGACAAATATTATCTCCCAGGATCCTGAGATCATTCCTGCAGATTTTAGGGGATGTAGATCTGTTACTGTGGGGCCTGAGCTCAGGGAGTAGCTGAGTAACAGTGTGAGCATTAGCTACAGTTTTGTTATCAAGAGGATGTAGATGTAGAACACTCAACCTCCAGATCAGGAGGACATGTCATCCCTAATCAATTAAAACTGGGTTGGCCGAAGTACTGCAAAATGTGTGGCTGGCCAAAGACATTCTGAGTGTTACACTGGGTCTTGTGCTATTCCCATCACCTTCCCCTCAATCCCTCACTCAACAATTTTTATGTCCTTCCTTGCATTGACAGCCTCCCACTTTCTACTCTCAGAGCCCCGAGGTCTGTGTGCAGTCACTGCCAAAAGGCTTCAATGTGGGACAACAGCTCTCTTTCTCCTGACAGCATGTGAGCCCTTGGCCTGTGGGGCTTTGGGAAGGGGCACCCTCCAAATTGCTGAGGGGGTGTGAGGGAAGTCCTTCAGGTGACTGAGTGGTGCATGAAACTCCTGTTGGGCCTGTGCTCAAGACCACATTTTACCTTACACACAACTGGCAGCACAGAAAGGCAAAGCAGCTGCCAATTAACCCAGCCTAGCTGAGCTACAGGGAACATCCTCCTGTTGGATTCTAACATGCCAGTTAATTGTGGCTGCTTCCCTTTCTGTCAAGTCAGTCAGCTTCTTTGAGCTTTCAGACCCACACACTGATGTCATGAGGCTCTAATTAAGTCTACCCGCTTAGAAATTAAGAGGTAAATGGTTGAGATATAAACTCACCTTTGTCAGTATTGATTTCATCTTTTAATTGAGGGGTGTAATGTATCTGTCTTTTCCATACAGGGCAAACATTTGTGCTCTGATTATATCTACCTGTCTTTCCCTGGATTAGTGATGATGGGGGTGGTAGTATGTCAGTGACAGAAATTACTTGCAGCTATACCTTTCAACTTACTTTAAATAGCAGTTTCACTATAAATTATTACCAGGGCTGTATTTTTAGTAGCTTTAAAAAGCTAATTAGCAACTAGAAACAAAAGGAGCTGTGAGCAGCCTGTGGCCACTGAGATCCCTCTAGCAGGTAAGCAAACACCTGCAGAGTGCAGGAGGACAGGACCTCTTAATTGCTCAGTGGAAGAGGCAGGGAGGTGGTGATGTGAAAGTGCAGGTAGAGGCAGTGAAGAGAAACATGCCCATGCGCAGTGAAAAGGCAAGAGGAAGGCAGAGCACTTAAAAGAGAGGGACACAGAGGTTATCCCTCAATTCAGCTCTAAGCAAAACAGAGATCAAGCAGAATCATCCCCTAACCAATTAACCTTGTATGCCATGGCTGCTTGGAGCAATGCTCTCCCTACTATTTAAGAGCCTTGGGAGGAAGTGGCATAGGGTTCAGAAATTCCTGAAAGCTCAGTCTGAAAAAGGAGAGTTTTTAGCAGCAAAAGACAAATACAACAAGTGAAGCAGTGACAGCAGCTTAGGCCTTACTTATGGAAATCCTCAATGCAGTGGATGTTGCCACCAGCATCCACAGTGAAGGGGATCCCATCCAGGCTGCGATGGCACATCACACAGGTGAAGCAGTGGGGATGGTAGGCCTTCCCAGTGGCTCGCAGGATCCTTTCCATGATGGGCTTTGCACAGACACTGCACTGCTCCAGTGTATTCTGCAAAGAAAACATACACAACACATGTGAGCACCATCTCAGCAGGACATTACAAAGGTCAGCTGGGCTGGTGGCTGCTGCTGGTCTGCTTGGAAGCTTTAGGTACCTTCTTTTCATTTCTCCTAGATAAAGTGCAGTACAGTCAACAGTTATCAAAGAGTACGATAACATGCACAGGGAGCACAGGGCCTGGGTCAAGCCTTTAGAACAGTGTGAGAACACAAACCAGAGCCTTCTCTCAGCAGCTCTGACAAGTGATCAGAGATGGCTCATCAGGTGGGTTATCTGAGACACAGCAGCTTCTGTAGCCAGGAGCACATGAAGGAGTTGTGCAGCCAACACTCCTGGGCTTTTGCCTCTGCACTGCCCAGTCAGAGCGAGCTTATGCAGCAGAGTTCATTAGAGACAAGTTCCACAGAGGGCAGTGCTAAACTGAAGTGCAAACTCCTGGGGCTACACAGACACCTCCTAATTACTTTGCCAATGCAGATCCCATAAAAATATCTTTATCTGCCTTGTACAAAGATCTTGATCTTCCTCTCTCGCCACAGAGAATACTGCTAAGTCTGGGCAGAGAACAAAGCAGTGGTTGCAAGGAAAGCATCCACAAGGACAGGAGCTCAGGATGACTTAAATGCTTCATTTATCTCTGGCCCACAATGTTTGAGATAATGACTGTGAAATGCCAGCTCTGAGGCCATGATCCTAGCTGCACAGGTTTTACATACTAGCCTGCTCCTAAAGTGCTGGAGCCAAAAAAATTCCCACTTTTCAAGTGGGGTCTATTGAATGATTCATCTCATTTCAACCCTCACTTACCCTTGCAGTTAATTATAGAAACACCACGATAATTTTGTTTCAGATGGTTGTCTGTGAGCCACACCAGCCCTTCTGACACCAACTGGGTAACTCACCATTTCAAAACAAGCACTTTAAAAGACACATGCCATGAATGGATGGTGCAAACCACATAGATGCAAACAATAAATCTGATTCGGGTAATTTCACTGGACTTTAGAAAAGCAAACTTCACCTACTATTCTTGCTTGATGGACCTGAAGTTATCAAATAATGTTATCAATCAGTGTTTGCATCTTGGGTGAGGTAGAAAAATCTATCATTACACTACTGATTATTATTTAGATAGACAGAAATAAGGGGGCGGGAAAATAAAGGAAAAAAATCCAACAGGACAGAAATATAGAAAGCTGCTGAAAGGTAGATCTTGTTGACAAACACAGGAAGGCTAAAGTTCTGCTTCCTCATGCAACAAAATTCCCAGAGAAAGTCGTGTTTTGACTGACAGCATTGTTATTGCTTCTTTGAGCCAGTATTCTCAGGGGCAAGATCCACTCCTTACATGTGCAACTGAAATGTATTGTGAGGAGATGAATCACCCAGGAACTCAGAAGGTTCTACACTCTCATATTTGCTCTCAGACATTATCTCTGGGCTGCACGTCACGGGTAAGGTACAAACATAGAAATACACGGGTTCCTATCAGAGGATCTGAAGGATTGTTTTTGGAAAGGTCGATATGAAAAATCCTGAATTTCAACCCATATGAGAACTGCCTCATGCATTTGTAAGGAGAGCACAGCCAGACTAGCATCAAATACAGGCTGGATTTTGCTTTATACCTTGTAATAATGGGCAGGAAAGAATGACTGCTGGCCTTTCTGTCTGGTTGCTGTCACCATCATCATCATTATAACAGTGGCTGGTATGCCAGAAAAAGCAAGGTCAATAATTTTCTCCATGGAGAAATAACCTGGCAGATTTACCATTTTGCTTTGCATAAGCAGATCACATCATCTCAGTCCACATCCATGTGGTTCTCTATGTTTTTCTGCCAAGGAGGGAAGGCAGGATACCTGCAGATACTGATGGAAGATTGTGCCATTCGTGAAGCATTTGCCATGAAATTTTCTGAACACAAGCAGGTATGGAGCATTTGCCTCACCAAGTCACTGCTTGCCTCATTTCCAACAGTTGCCAACAACAGAGGCCAAAGTATGAGAACAGGATAAGCAAAGCAGAAATTCCTTGGGATTTGCTTCCAGTCTCCACTGATTACTGGTTTAGGCACTTCCTGAGTCAGAGCTTGGCTTCCCCATACTTTGCCTCAAGTGGATGCTTCTCCCATAAACCTTCCTGATTTTTGAATTCTGATAAATACTGATCCCCCACAACGTGACCAAGAATTCTGTGGCTTACTTCCATGCTGGGGACTGATGTGTTCAGCAGTTCCCCTGGTCTGCTACTGCAGCCCACCCAGGACAGTGACCAGAGCAGGCACCTGCAGCAGCAATCCAAGCTGCAGAGGGGTCCAGCACCCAGCAGCATGGCCTGGAACTGCTCTCACCACGGGCCAGATGTAACTCCTGCTCACACATTTCGGGCACACAGAGTTTAAGCCCATAAGAGATCAGTACAACCATCCTGTCTGACACCCCATGTTAACACTGATTTTGGTGGAAACTTTACAGTGACCAGGACAGCAGGCAATCACCCTGCTGGATCATACCTTCTGAAAACACACATCTTCTCCCAAATCTCAGCTCGGTCACAGTTTGACATTCTCACAGCTACGTAAGACAAGCATTATGAATTAACCAACTCCTGATTAAGCCTTCTATACGACCTGAAAATCAGACCTGAGAAATTTATTCTTTTCATCCTTCCAAGTCTGTACCAGTAAGGAAAAACAAAGTCATTAGTTTCAGACTCCAGCTCACTCCTGTCTGGGAGTGTATTTGCTTAAGCCTCCCTCCTTGCTAGAACCCTGGCTGGCTCAGACCCTTCCCTTCAAGGTGTTACCAGATGATGCCAAAGGGAAAGCTTCCTTGATTCACACCCATTTGACATCAGGTTGCTGTAAGGCAGGATTTGGCCTGTGAAGCTACCAGGTTTTCTTTGATTCTCTAATCAGGTTATCCCACATGCCTAAGTGCTGCCCCAGCAGCTAACAACCTGCACAAAGGTATTTATGCACATTATGGGAACAGCATCCCTGTAGGATTATAAGTTTGGCTTCTTGATTTTGCTCTCTTTCACAGTCTGTCTAACTCTCCTAGCTCCTCCTGGAGCTTTCAGACCTCCAAAAAGCGAAATACGATGAAGAAAAAATGCCTAACAGGTCTATTTTCCTTCTTTTCTCTCCGGCTTCTGTTGCAAGTCTGCTCTGTAATCAACAGGTAGAGCTGAATGCATCTGATGAGCTACACTGAGAGCTAAGGCAAGGCACAAAGAAGAAAGATGAGAAACAGCTAGTAAACATTAATCCTAGGGGTTGTGGTCACATTCATGTCATAAGAATATAGCCCACAAATCTAGTGTGGGCTGAGGGTAAAGTTTGCCATTCTTTTCCCATATTTTTGGCCAAGAGGCAGGGAGTGCCCTTGTGTCTCCCAAATCCAACCAATTTTTTGGGGGTTTGAAAAGCATAGGGAAGGAGCCATCCATTTCCAAAGGGAAGGCTGGCACAATGTTTAAGGCTGAGTCTGGGTCCATGTCCCTTGAGGGCAGAACATCCATGGCAAAGAAAAAGAATCTCACATGAGAAGAATAATGCACCCTAAATACCAAAAAGAAAAATAACCTCAAGCAAAGATACACTAAAACACAAAGAAAGGACTATAATGACCAGGACATCATAATCATCTTGCAAGTTAAAATTAAGAGACTTAAACATGTATAACACAATCAGTGTCAAAGTGGGAACAAGCTGCTTGGGAGCAAGCACCTAGCAAGTGGTGTTTGGAGTTGACCTCCCTAGAGCAATACTGGTCTCTTCAGAAAACACAGAAAGCCAAAGGGGGTTGCTCTGCAGATTTTAGGTTTAAACATGGGACACAAAGTAAAAATTCTGACTGCTAGGAAAGACTTCTGGGTTGCAAGAGCCACGGAAGGCTGGAGCTGGGGAGTGTTTGAGTCTCCTCCTGAAAACTTCACATCCCAGATGGCAAGGTGGCAGAGACTTTAGGGACCAGAGGTGCAGTGACAGCCCATGGGCTGCAGCTCATCCCACTGCCCTAATGCTGCAGAGTACCACCCCTCCTAACCAAACCTGGGGGACAGCAGTAACTCACAACATCATGCCAGCACAAGGACTCTCCCACAATGACCCAGCAATGAGTGCAGAAGAAAAGCCACACAGATTAGTCATTGCTTCTTCTGCATTGGCAATTCATCCCAAGCTCTAATGAACATAAATAATGTCTCCTGCACTCTGAACAGCAGACCGAGGAGAGCTCATGCACAGGGACATGAGCATGGTATTGCTTATTTTGCTGGGAGAGGGGAGGGAAGTTGCTGGAATAAATTACATTGGCAACTCATGCACAGGGACACAAACTCACTTTCTGTAAGCACTGCAGAAGAAACACATTTTTCGAAGTGACTGAGCAGAGGAGATGGTTTTGAGCTGCACGAATGAAATGTGACTGTTGTGCTAAAAACAGGCACATGGTCAAATGCTATAGTTGAACTGTAACTTAGTAAAGTGTGGTAAGTGACTTGCTTTAAATCTTGTGACTCCGTCCTTCATTTCCTCAGACAGCAAGGAGAGCAGAGCAGCAGACATTTTCCCCTTTGTGGGATATTTTTTGAGGCTTGAAAATGTTTCCATACTTAAGTGAAGACAGAACACTTTAATCTCAAGAAGCCTGGTGAATTTATAAACCTCAAATTAGATCAGGTCAATTGAAAAACTGCACTTCAAAATAATTGCAAATGGTTTCATTTAGGGTTTGGGTCTGAAAATATGTAGTTGTATTATAAATTAAATATAAAGCAGACAGTGGTGGAGGGGTTAAGTGTCAAGATGTAATTTCAACACTTTCAAACACTTTTTTGGCATTATTTCTAGAAAAGGAAAACCAAGGCTCCCCAGCTGCTATCTCCACAGATGGGTTAAATCTTGGCAAACATAACATTTAAGTCACTAATAGCCAGCATGAAATTCCTTCCTGCATGTCTGAGGAGACAACTTGGGCATG